GTTTGTCTTTCTGCAAATCAAGAGGAGGCCGAAAAGTTCCATCATCTTTGTCTTTGAGATGCTGAGAGGTAGATATGGCAGTGCCATGCCACGAGTCTTTCGCGGTTCTAGAGCTTGGGTTGTGGTTTATATTGTCAACAGCTTGTGTGGTGAAAAGATTGCATCTCAACGAACTAGGGCATACCAGTCCATCTTTGTCGAACTGATCGGTAACACTGTTCCCTAGATATGTCGATAAAGTTGAAAGGCGGTCATAAGAGATACATAACCCAAGAGAGTGAAGTCTGTTCACCAAGTCCTCGCTTCTAGTCCTCGAATGAATTAGAAATGCGATATATATGGCTACTGGTGTTTCATGATCTGCATTATTACGAAAGGCTCCAGTTGATTTCCTGTTTTTAGCCGAGTTAAAAGCAAGCAGCTGTGCCAACACTAAGGCAGGAGACAATTTGGACGATTCTACATCATCTGTGCTTTCAAACCCAGTCAGCATATACATTAACGACTAAAATGTGGGCGACACTGACTGTTCTTGGCAATTTTCTTCGAAATGACCATTAAATGTTTGTTTCCTATCAGCTAGTTCAGCTTTGATTTTTCTGCCAAGCCGACAAAGACTCATTACATCATTAACTTCAGATCGACTTGCATATTTCAAAGCAGCCGCCAAATCATCTTTGTACGAAATATAGATTTCTTTCTTATCAGAAACAGCTCGCAAGTCGCTATCTAGTTCGAGAATCTTATCTTTAAGCCGTGTAATATTCACATTACTTTCCTTGCCAGTCATCCTTGCTAAACTGTGGTCATAAAACTTTCTTATGTCAGACAATTTTATTGATGTCGCTACGTCAGTGTCTGTACTCGTTGCAAGACTTTCTTCAATATACATCATTGTTTCAGATAGTACAGAGTTTTCAATGTCTTTCATCCTAGCAGTGTCGGGATTTTCAGGTGTCAGAAATGTCCTATATCTGTTTCTGAATTCTGTGAAACATTGATGGTGGTAGCAAGCATCTCTTGCAAATAAGTTACCCTTAGATAGCTTAGCTAGTAGTAACGAATCTCCCATCTCAGCGGCAGCCTTTCTAACAAAGTAATCGCAGTTATCAGTATTAACTTTACACATTCGTTTCTGCCGAGCAGGAGGGTGTTTCAACTTTATATATTCTGTTGTGAATACACCTGGTTCATTGCAAAATAAGCACAGACAAGATTGTAATTGTGTCTTTGCATCCAGGCTAGAACGTGTTGTTTTAGATAGTGCATTGACAGGTAGTGTTTCAATTTTACGCTTTTTATTGGCAGCGGATTCTAAAGTACGCTTAAGTTTTGAGGGTGCCAATTCTGACATGCATCCCTTATGCCACTTGGCATTATTTTCTTTCAGGTTATCTGCAACATTTGTATCACCTTTAAAATCTGTTAAAGCAACAGTGATCTTGCTTGGTAGTGGTAGACCCTCGTTAATAAAAGCATCTATGTTCCTTGATAATGCGGAATATCCACAAACGTCTCGATTTAAATTTGCAGATGGTACAACGAGATTCTGCCCATCACGCTGACACAGAGCACATATACTCCAATCCATTTATCTATTTATCAACTACAATAGAAAAAGGAAAGTAACCGGTGATAAAGTGCCACCCACTGATCTGATCAGCGGTGCCACCCAAGTCCAAACTGTATATAAACGTAATTTATGGAGAAAAAATGTTAAAATTAATTACAGAAAAAAGTGTAGTAAATCCAAAAAAAGATAAAAATTTTAAACAATTGATATAATTGGACAAGTTAGTGAGATTAAAAGGTTTTAAAAAGTTCATGTGTAAAATACTGTAAATGTGTAAAAAACAACTTTCACAAAAATGCTCAAAAATGCATCAACGATATAAGCTACAACAATAATATAACTACAAATAAAATGAAAACATAGATATTATATATACATTACCTTTGCAACTTTACATCATACGAGAATTTGAGCTTCAATTTTAATACTATAAACAACTGTAAAAAAATCTGAAAAAGAAGTCTAAATTTTTGCCATAGAGGGATATTGTGGAGCAATTAAGGACTCATGGGAGTAAACGCACTTCAATATAGCTAATATTCAAAATGGCGCTTGACGTTCTTTCAACATGGCTGTCGGTTTAAAACATTTACACAGAACTAGAAATACCATATAAACGCTGAAAAGGTAGAGAAATCGTGTTTTAACAATCAGAAGGTGAGTTAAATAATATATTTTGTTTGAATTAGATGATGAATTTTACATATCTGAGTGAAATCTTGTTGTTGTTCGAAGTTTATATCAAGTGTCGAGCTACACATATATTCTGTCTACATGTTATTTTGATGTATTCTTGTGATTTGTTTTGCTATTTAGAACGTACAATGGAAATTCTAAATAACTAATTTATTGTTGGTTCGCATGAGGCTGAATTTTGCTTTAAAATCGTCAATTAGGTAACGTATTTGTCATATGTCAGAAATCGCTAATGTCGGCCATTTTGACATCCGAAAAAAGTGCTTTTCCCCAGTCAAATTTTGGGCAACCCTTCTATTCCATATTCTTGACATCATAATCTATCATTGTGCCAAGTGCGGGCTTGTTGTCACGATTTGAAGGATTTGCCTAACATTGGCATCTTAACATGGCTAATATTACAATTTCTGCAAATCTCTTAAACTGAAAAAGAAGGAGAAATTGACACTTATTAGTTCCCATATTACCTCATTAACACTTCAAGCCCCACCTCAGCCAGATGACTTCGACCAAGATGAGGGACTGAATTGTCTGAAAGTGAATCGGACGACAGTGATATCAATATTGTCCTAGACGCAACAGCTGCGCCATCAAGTTCCGAATCCTCGGAAGATGAAGTTGAGATGGAATGGGGGAACTGCGATGCTTCTGAGCTCGAATGTCGAGGCAATATTCACTACAACGAGATCTGGAAGGGTTGCAACTAAGGGGCCGATTACATGGATCATTTTCAACCCCGGGGTTGAACTCAGCCCTGTTTACCGGGTTGAAATTTCAGCCCTGTCTGTAATACAAAACTCTTAGTCTAGGACCTGTATATGAGTTTGTATGCGTTTCATTTACCACAGGTAATCTCAACTGTTTTAGGGTAAAATGACCATGGCGGTCAACATGGCATATGTGCCAAAACCTGAATCCTGGACGAAAGTCCTGAAAATGACCCCGCCCTGAAACGGCAGTGCCGACATAGCTCTAACTTCCGAAAAGCAAAAGCGACAGCCTTTCTGAAGTGCTTATAGTGTTTAGAAGGGTGGTTTTAGGGGTGGTTATTGGAAGGAAAAATTTGTGTAAGTATAATATTTTACAAGAAAATGACCATTTATCACCCCAGGTAAATTGCTGATTATGCAGAAAATAACTAATATACATGGCAGAAATTAAATATCCTTATTTCCTAAAAAAAAATTACCATGGGATGAAAAACTATGCTTAATTTAATATAATTATTGTAGTTTTCATAAGGATAGTCACTGTTTTCTATAAATATAATATATTTTATTTCACTTACCCCCACGAAAACACGATTTCAGCCATATTTTGCCG